CTCTTGGCACGGACGTCCTTGAGGACAGGAAGGAGGACTTTGAGTGTTTTGCAGCTGCTTTACCTCATCTCGTGTCCATGCTGATTGCACCTGAGGGAGACCCGGATGCACCAGACATCCCGACCCCGTGCTCTTACGCAGAGGCGATTGAGGGTCCCTACTCCTCTCAGTGGCAGACAGCCATGGACGCAGAGATGGCTTCCTGGAAGTCCACAGGCACCTACGTCGACGAGGTTCCCCCACCTGGGGCGAACATCGTCAGTGGCATGTGGATTTTCAGGGTGAAGCGGTCGCCGGGTTCTCCGCCTGTCTTCAAGGCGCGTTACGTTGCTCGAGGCTTCAGTCAGCGACAGGGAGTTGACTTCTTTCAGACCTTCTCCCCTACCCCGAAGATGACCACTCTTTGGGTGCTGCTGCACGTTGCCGCACAGCGTGACTATGAGCTTCACTCTCTTGACTTCAGCACAGCCTTCCTACAGGGCAGCCTGCACGAGGAGATCTGGCTGCGCCGCCCACCTGGCTTCACTGGGTCGTTTCCTGCAAGTACCCAGTGGAGCCTCCGGCCGCCAGTCTACGGTCTCCGACAGGCGCCTCGCGAGTGGCACGACACACTGAGGACGACGTTTGCGGCTCCCTGGAGCTGGAGGCGCTAAAGCTGGAGGTACCGGGGGTGCTGGAGCTGCTGGTTCTGGAGGTGCTGGAGGTGCTGGAGCCGCTGGTCCCGGAGGTGCTCGTACTGGAGGTACTGGAGCTGCTGGAGCTGGAGGTGCTGCAGGAGCTAGAGCTGGAGACACTGGTGCTATAGGTAGCGGAGGTGCTGGAGCTGCTGGTCCTGGAGGTGCTGGAGGTGCTGGAGTCGCTGGTCCCGGAGGTGCTCGTACTGGAGGTACTGGAGCTGCTGGAGCTGGTGGTGCTGCAGGCGTTGGAGCTGGAGACCCTGGAGCTAGAGGTGCTGGCCCTGGGGGTGCTGGTGTTGTCGGTGCTGCTTCTGGAGGCACTGTGTGGCCGCGACCGTACTTCGTTCCACTGCTTCAGTAGGTTCTTGGTCTCCCGTCTTCTACTGGCCTTACTCATCCCTTACTTTGTCCACCGCCTGACCAGTCGCAGCCGCAGTTACAGTCAGACTCCCCACTGCCTGCTCCTTCTCCTTACATTGAGCAGACAAATTCTCTTTCAGAGCGTCGTGAGCCTGCGTCTTGTCCTGCGTCGCCTGTTCGCACTGGTCGTCGTGTTCCCCGTCAGCGTCCTCCTCCTGTTCGCGGCACGCACCAGATGGCACTTCGTCCTTCCTCTGTTCCACAGCGTGTTCCTCTGCCGTCTCCTCCTGCGTCCTCTGTTCCTGACGTTCCTGACCCGCCGTCAGACCTTGCTCGTGCTGCTAGTCCTACTGTCACACGTCTTCTAGCCACTGTTGTCACTGACCCTTCGTTCGAGTCCACTGTTGCGTTTGCCCTAGTTGCTGAGCTTGTAGACTTTGCTGCCGCCTGTCGCCTCGACTACGCCGCTAGTCTTGTTGCTGAGTATGAGTCTGTCTGTCCTCCGTCCGTCGAGGGTGAGTGTGCTCTTGGCACGGACGTCCTTGAG